TACAAAAAGTAACTTATGCTACATTTTTTTTATATATAAAACTGCCTGCAAATTATAAATATTGTTGAAACTAATTTAGGATACATAGAACAGAAATATTAAACTTTGAGATATTTAATTTTATGTATTTTAGACAAAAGTGTTACACTAAAGTCATACACTAAAGTCTCTAAAGAATTGTCCTATAAGGTATAGTAATGATTGGTATAATTGGTATAAATTAATTTTACCATACATTCTGTCAAAAAAGCACATGTTTCGAGACTTTAGTGTATGATTTGTCTAAAATAAATAAAATTAAATATCTTAAAGTTTAATATTTCTGTTCTATGTATCCTAAATTAGTTTCAACAATATTTATAATTTCCAGGCAGTTTTATATATAAAAAAAATATAGCATAAGTCATTTTTTGTAGTTATCCTAAATTAGTTCCAATATTTATAATTTTTAATCAATTTTATATCCATAAAAAATAAGAAATAAAAATTATAAACATAAACTCAACAAGAAATCTTGTAATACACAAAATTAAAATTAACTGGAAATTATAAATATTGTTGGAACTAATTTAGGATACATAGAACAGAAATATTAAGCTTTGATCTTTAATTTTATTTATTTTAGACAAATCATACACTAAAGTCTCTAAACAATTGTACTACAAGGCATAATGATGATTAGTATGATTGTATAAATTAATTTTATTATACATTCTGTCAAAAAAGCACATGTTTCGAGACTTTAGTGTATGATTTGTCTAAAATAAATAAAATTAAATATTTTAAAGTTTAATATTTCTGTTCTATGTATCCTAAATTAGTTCCAACAATAATTATAATTTCCAATCAATTTTATCAAAAAATTACTTTTTTAACAAAAAGATAAAAAAAGGCGCCAAGCACATGCTCTTGTCACAACTAAAACAAAACAGTATTGTTTTACTTTTCAAAAAAATTAGTATATATTAAAATCTTTTCAAAAAAAACCTAGTCGTATATATTAAAAACCTTTCAAAAAAAAGCTGTATATATAATTAACTATATTATATACTATATTTTATCATATTTTACTATATACTATACTATATATACTATATATATTATTACAT